CGGTACATATCTATGGGTGGTGGATCACATCTGGTATAGCCCTTGTTTTTCTTTTCTGGACTACACAATATTGGTGTTCATGTATGCTGATATCCCTGTTACTGATGTGAAATCAACACATACAATCTAGAACAACTGTTGACCACCCAAAATCACCTGGCAATGGACCAGAATGAGTGTAGGCAAGCTGAAACAAACCTTGGCAAGTCTGAGTGAATGTAGATAATCCAGAACACCCCAGAATGATTGTCCACCAGCTAGACTAAGTGCAGGTATGCTCAGATGATAAGAGCAGCCTAAGGTACATTGACTGTAGATGTGCACAAACATGTGAATATGAACAAACTGCTGAAAAGCAAATGCACATAAAAGCAGTGAGTGACTAGCAGATATGTAGATACTTGTAAGCGATGTACATACAGAGATAAACAAAGCAAAAAAGACACACCTAGATTGCACAAACAACTCGAAATGTATTCTAGATTAAAGACAACATAATTACCAGGTCTAAATGTGTAGAACACAGTGAACGCAAATGACAACAAGCATAGATGATCAAGGACAGTTTCAGATAAACACAAATGCACAGTTACATGTGTTAGTAGTGACATTTGCAGATTAGCATGAACATACTGGTAATTAATGTACATACAAACATAGATTCAAAAAACATACCCACTTGCTGGAACAAATGGTGTGTGGCTGTGGGACACTGGGGAGAACTATCACAGTTGGTGTTAATGCTCCAATCTCCGGCATTCTTAGGGCATGTCATCCAATACGAGTGCCACGGAATAGTCCATCTCTGTGAACTCTCATTAAATGATCATTCTAATAAAATGATTTCAAAAAGTGAGGTGGACGAAGGAACACTCACCATCCATTGCACACACATCATTTGTGATGCACGCCTCTTGATAAACAATGGTTGTGAAGCTTTTGATCTGGTAAGTGGAGGCATTGTGTGAAAATCTATATATGTCTTAGGATCTGTGATGGACACTAGGTTGTGACAGACCAATGATAAATATGAGGGACAGGTGAGGGACAGAGATGGCCTTCATGAAGTTTGCTTATGTTATGTCTCAGAATTCAAATATTGGTGGACTTCACAATTTTGGCTCCCTCCTCTATATGCGGATGAGCAAATTTATGACCAGTGCTCGCTGACTCACACCAGCAGGAGGACTTGTGCCCATACAAATTCCTCACTTTTCCATTGACGAGGTGAGTTTGATTTTTTTAAAACACATTGCATTATATATGCTACACTAACAAACCAAGGTGATACGCAATACCATCAAATGCTACAGCCAATGGCACTACAAGGTCAAAGTCCACATCTTATCACATCAATAAATTGTCTTCTCTTCTTATCACCATCATGAATGACGTCCAGGTGAGTCCTCTTGTGGTGTTGTACTCAACTCATTTACTAAGCATTTTTTCTACTTGTCTGCTCACAGAACACAGCATATGGGTAGCACAGCCGCTGTTATATCTACCTGTGCATGTACCCGCTCTCAGTTTGCGCCTGTTGTCGTCTTTTGGGTCGCCTTCTCAATTCTGATGTCACCATTGTTGTGTTCCTCTCACAGGAAGTGCATATTCTCATCTTCCGACTTGCTTGTGCAATGCTGATAGTGTTCTGGCCCCATCCCACTTTTTCGTGGTTTGTGCGCTTGATTTTTGGTGTTTTGCTGTGACGCTAATGACCAGCTACTTTATGCCTATATTAATTTAAGATGATTGTATGTTCATTATGGCTGAAGGCTCATCTACTATCTCTTCCTCTACAACCCCTCACATGTCCTCAGTAGGCTCTATCTTCACAATCACTGCCATCCCCTCCTCTATCTTCACAATCAACAATTCTATGTCATCCTCACTGGGCTCTATCTTCACGATCGCTCCCATCTTCTCTTCCATCATCTCATCAATGAGCTCTGTCTTCACATTTGCTCCTATCTTCTCCTCAGTAGGCTCTATCTTGAAATGACTTGCTTGCTCCAACCACACATTAACAGCAATATCTTGAGCATTCTATTGAGTACAAAATGACGTCATATATTAATCAAAAAAAAAAACTCATTAGATCAGTTATATTAGGGCGGGGTTGATCGTTGATCTCCAGCTGGTGTGCATCTATCACACCAACCAGCAGCATTTGCATGTCATTTCATCTGCTATGAGTACCATGGAATGGTGCATCTACATGTAGTGTCTTCAAACAATCATTCTAATCGACATATTTAGGAAAAGTAGGTTGGATGAAGGAAAACTTACCATTCATTGCTCATGCATCATTTGTGCCATGTGCCGCTTGGTGACAAATAATCTTAAAGCCTGTCCTCATGTCATAGGAGGCATTGTGTATTGAAGTATGGATTTGTGATGGATTGTGATGAATGCATAACAAGTGTGATGGACGTGATGGACTTTATACAATTTGCTTATGTTATATCAGGATTTAAATCTTGATGCACTTTTTCAGTCTATATGTGAATGAGTGCATTTGTCATTGTGGATCTTTGTGATTACCACCACACTTTGATGCTGATGTAACCATTTGATTTCATGGTGGTACATGCTTGCATACAAAGCAATTTAGTGTAGTATAATTGTAATGCAGAGTATGCCATCAACGATACCCCACCAGACTTTGAAATACAATTCCCCAATGTGTAAAAAGAGGTGAGTGCTCTGCTTTCCTGACAAGCGCTCGCTGACTCACACAAGCAGCAGGACTTCGGCCCATATGAAGTACTCACTCTTCCTGTCGGCGAGGTGAGTTTGATTATTCTTTAAACATATTGCATGATGTACGCTATGCTAACAAACTAAGGGAATACTCCATATGCAATATCATCAAATGGCAGCGATAATGTCACTACAAGGTCAGTGACTCGGATTCCTTGTCACTGATGAAGTGTGTGCAGTGACGCTGATGCTTCCTTCCTGCAGAAAAATTCTCACCATGAAACAGCTGCAAGCACTGTGTCATGAGCATGGAGTAAATATGCGAAAGCAAAAGGAGGATCTGATAGCATGCTGCGGTGCCTCTAAAGTATATTGGGTGTGTTTTTCCCTATGTGTTTCTCACTTATGATTGCAATTTTGGCATTCCATATGCAGTACGGTGCCTCCTACCACCACACCAGCCATTGTAGAAGCCAGTTCACCACCCTCATTTCTTCTCCCAGCATTGAATTACCATGTTCTAATAACCCTAACTAACCTTCACTCTATTCCAGTGCTCTGCCTAACTTCTCCATCATGTGCTTCAGTTTGTTGGTGGCTTCTTCGTAAGACCTGCCCCTTGTGGCCAATGCTACGTCATCTAAGAATCCCAGGCTTGGATCGCCCTTTCTTGTGTCATATTCGGCTACTCATAGGATGTCTTAGTTGTAGAATATGATTAGTTTTAGTCTGACCTACCGCTGATACCACCCAAAGTATACACACAGATGATCGATACTGTTGGTCACTGGGAGGGCAACACATGGTGTGAAACATATGCTGCAAAGATTGTAAAGTATATTAACCCTAACTAACCAGCTACTGCACACCTATAGTAATTTAAGATGGTTGATTTTGACTATGGACGAAGGTGCGTCTATCTATTCCTTCAGAACTGCTCACATATCCTCAATCTTCACAATCACTCCTGTCCCCTCCTCTATCTTCACAATCAATAATCCCATGTAGTCAATAGGCTCTTGCTTGACGATCACTCCCATCTTTTCCTCCTCCATCGGCTGTGTCTTCACACATGCTCCAATCTTCTTATCAATGGGCTCTCTATTTACAGTGCCTCCTATCTTCTCGTCAATAGGCTCTATCTTGGCTTGCTCCAACCATACATCAACAACAATGTTTTGAGAGTTCTATTAAGTACAAAAATATGTCATATATTAATATAAAAAAACAATAGTCAAACTCACCAGATCTGTCATGATAGGGCAGGGTTGATCATTAATCTCCAGCTGGCATGCATCTGCCATACCAACCGGTGGTATTTGGAGTGCATGTCTTCCACTACAAGTACTGTGGAATGGTGCGTCTGCATGTATGATCTTCAAATGATTGTTCTAATGGACATATTGAGTAAAAGTAAGTCGGATGTAGGAAACCTTACCATTCATTTTGCATGCATCATGTCTGCTGTGCGTTGCTTAATAATCAATGATTTGGAGGCCTGCCCTTGTGTAATTGGGGGCATGGTGTAGAATTTGATATGTGTATGGATTTGTGATGGATGTGTAACAAGTGTGATGGATGAATGATGGACTGTGACGGACTTTATACAATTTGCTTATGTCATATCAAGGTTTAAATATTGATGGACTTGACAATTTTTTTCCAGTCCATTCGTGGATGAGCACTGTGGATCTTTGTGATTACCACCACACTTTGACGCTCCACTGTCACCACACCTTGATGCTCCATTACCACTACACTTTGGTATTCCATTAATACCACACTTTGATGCTGATGCGATGATTTTATTTTATTGTTGTACATCATTGCATAGAACATAATTTTCTGTACTATAATCATAATGCAGAGATTTCAGCAGTCCTGTATCTTCCACATGATATATCCAAGTGCTCCACATTGAATAGGGTGGTCTTATTCTGGACATCCAAACATATCAACATCAAGATACTCTCACTGAGACCTGTGGATGAATCCATAGCCACACCTACAATACTCCTGTACTTCCCTCTGCACCCCTCTCACTGCTGTTATACAATTTCACGTCTGATGATTCCATTTTTTGAATCCTTGTTTATTGTCCATTGGGGAAGAGTCATGCACATTGTTGTATTTATTGTGGTTAAATTGTATGTATGTGGGAGTATAAGGTGTTGTATGTTGATCCTGGCTGGAGCGCGGAAGGTGACACCAACTGAAGGTGAGAGAGGTGTTAATATATTTGTATGTGGGAGCAATGTTTTCTTATAGTTGCTTTCATTATTCTTTTCTTTGAGTAAAACTACGTCTCCGAAGACTGAGGTGAATCTTCTTGTGTTGGCTATATATTTGAACAGTGACTTCAGGTAGCTGGCCACATTTAAAATGTGTTTCACATTATATGCTTTCGTTCCTAGTGACATTCTCAGGTTGTTGTGTTGCAAGATGTAGTCTGAGCAGGTCAAGAGCAAATGGTGTATGTATTCACTGATTTTTTTTCCCTTGTTGACATTCAGCCATTACAGACTTTGCTATGCAACTGAGTAATTCCATGTTCTCGGATGTACACCCACTAGTCGGGCTTATGGATGTTCCATTGAGTCATTTTTCTATCGAAATTATCTATGAAATGATCAGAAACTTGTGTCCATAGGAGTTCCTCCCATAACAATGTACTCATGATGTATTGGTGCAAGATCAACAGCCCTTCCATGTGGAAGCAGGACAGTTATTTTATTCTGGGAGAAAGAGACATTGACCTATTTGCTGCTGATACTCAATGTCAGTGACTCTCTTAGAGTGATTTTTCTTGACAAATTTTTTTCAGGATGTGAAGGTTGCAGTGTAATTGAGTATACAAGTTCTTAATCACCTTCCATAGTCCTTACCAACTCCAATAGCTTGGTCTCTCAGAATGTGAGCAGCTTTTAGAAATTGCATATTCGCTCTGTAAGTCCTTGTCTTCATATAGGAGTCCCACTGACAGTTAGTTCTTAGATACTTTCTTGGCTTCAAAAATCCCTTACACATTAGAATATTCCTGTGCTTATAGTTTTGCTGGCGCATGCTGTTACATGCTTGCATCAGAGATGTAGAGGATATCAATGGCTCAATACAAGTCTTTGGTTCAATAGTGAGTTATTTTCAATGCATAATATTAAGCACTTTCTGTAATGTCAAATCAGCTGAAAGACCCATTGCATAAACGGCAGTATTTTATAGTGATGATTGTCGCAAGATAGTTTGACAGTGAAGAAGGATGAGGATGATCAGCCCTTACTAGTATTGGAGACACCAAATATCTGGTCAGGGTGTATAATATGCTCAACCCGGTATTATCTAGAGAATATTGACTGCTTGTAGATAACCTTAAGGCTTGCCACATACCCAATTATTGTGTGTGTGTGTGTGTGTGTGTGTGTGAAGGAGTTGAAGAAGCTCATTAACATAGTGCTTGTCCATCGCAAATGTCAACTCACACATGGACCATTGTAAAGCACCGATCCCACATGAGATACAATATATAACCTACATAGTACAATAGCATAAGTAATGTTCACCATAGGGCTCCACCCCACAGGACAATAAATGAGAGTCCAAAAAAAAAAGTTCAGTGAGGACACATTATGTGACAGTCTTGGGGAACGTACCGGTGTACAACATGGTGGTTTTACATGGACAAAAAACCCTGCAGTAAGTTAATGAGAGGACACACAAGCCCAGAGGGGTTGGCATACTTTGAAAAGTTGCCTGAGACACTCCATCACCTTGCTGAATGTATCTAATTGAAGCTTGACAAAATTGAGAAGTAATGGCATTGCGAAAATTTGTTTGAACCTTTGGGTCGAGATGTTCGATGTGAGTGTAGATGTCAACACACTGTTGAAAGAGATAGATGAAAATATTCTGCACTTCGTTAGCCGAACTCACCTGCACAATGCCTGAGTTGGAAGACTGCCCATAATTCGGTTTGAGGGTGGGAGGGGTGATATCCTGCAGAAGTGATTAGTACCAATTATAGCACATGGGGAAAATTCATGGTGTAGTTAACTGAACAGGTTGAGTGTCCTGTAAGCTGGAACTTGCAGCCATAGGCTCAGAGTATGGGGATTGTTGAGCACTTCGAGTGAAGCACTTGGTCGCCTTGAAAAGAGCTTGAAAACTGACTCTGAACATATTTCATGTGACCCATTCCTCAAAGGCAAGAGAGAGGACAGCTGTAATGATTAGATATGATTTAAATGCTAAGATGAAAGTTCGTACATTGTGACTGGCTGTTGCCCTGCCTCTCTCTTGTACTTACCAAATGAGGGTCTGAATGACTTGGCCTCAACCACTCCCAGCATTTCTTGCGAGGAGCATTATTTTCATTCATCTGGTAAGTGAGGTGGATGTGCATGTTTTGGTGCAATGGAGGTGGGAGGCATGAATAGGATCGACTGGCATTCACAGGTAAGTATGAGGATTATTATGTAATTTGAGTGCACTGTCACATGAACAAATATAAGTCCTTTGCCTTTGCTGCCTTGACTGCCTTAGACTTAATTTGTGATACAAGTAAGTGACCGTTATTTGAGGCTGTCAGGAAGGCCAGATGTTTACCATCATGGAAAATGTGGCCAGAGGTACAGCAAAAACCACAACTATCTAGTAACAAGTTTCGCATCTTGCAGCGATATCATTATGTTAGGTGATGCAAGCATTTCGATCTCGATGTTTCTCCTTACATGTGAGATGTCGAGGACAGAGGATTCAAGTGCTTTATATTTCCTCTCCGCCTCTTATCCTGGTATGAATGGTGAGTGAGATTGATTTTCGACAGTTCGACATTTTGACAGATATTGGGAATACCTTTATATCAGAAAATGCCACTGAGTCTTCTTTTTTCCTTTTCCCTTCTCTGGGTGTGCCCACACTCAAATTCCCATTGTTATTGGCGCTGTTTCCATTGTTTACCGCCTCCGTGTCCATCAAATCCGCAGAAACATTCGAGAAGTTAATGTTCATGTGATTCTTATCCTTCCTTGGTATGTCCTGGGTAACATCTAGCTTTTCTGTTGTGATGCTGTTAATTATAGTGTGATTAGTGGGAGTGTGAACTCCATGAAGCTCAGAAACTTGGCTCTCATTGCGCATGTTGTCAGACCTGAGAATATTGTTGGATTTTATGTAGTCAATTGATGGACACAGCATAACATTCCTTGCATCCATACTGTTACGCTGACCGTCGGTCGGCGTGTGTGAACTAGGATAGGTCTTCTCAGCGACGACTCGAGTGAGTCTACTGAAGCTGAGCGTGGTCTAGCCTTGACGGAACGTCAAGGATTCCTCCGGCGATCTCGGTAAGACGGCGCTCGTCGAGATGCAGGGCTAGCGGATACGTGCTAAGTCGTATGGGGGCGACTTAGAAGTGCGGTCTCACACAAGGAAGCTGGTAGGCTTAGATGAGCAAGTTCTGGGGATGAACCTAGTAGATTAAAGTAAAGTCTAAGTACGATAATCTGTGTCTGCTTATAGGGAAGTACTACAAGTATTCTAGCTCAGTTTCTAATCAATAGTATATCGTAAATCTATGATAGTAAGACATGAGGTTCAGATAAGATACATGAGGCTTAACCTCTGATCAAGCATGCTGCGCATAGGTACAGGAAGTGCCAAGTGCGCTCCGGATCTTCATGAAGCGACATGTGGTATACATGCGCTGATCTAGGGTGTCCATGAGGCGTACAGCCTCCATGGATCAGGTACAAGGCCGTCTAGGCCAGGGGCGGGGTCATAGCGCCAGGCGGGGTCATAGCGCCAGGGGCGGGGTCATAGCGGTCCAGACCGCTGTCTTTCTAGGCGCGGGCGGCGCACCGCCGCGCGGGGAGTCTAGCAGAGCGGGGGCAGGCGTAGGGAGAGCTGGGGCTTTAGTAGGTGTTACAGATCCCTGTAACACATACCACAGCACATTTCTGTACAGATAATATGGGTACATCACTCAGGAGCGTCATTCACATTCCTTTGAATGTTTTACTCTCACCTGCATGTAATGTGTATTCAGGTAGATGTGTGTCTGAGTCTAGAATGAGGGGAGATATGTCATTGGCACCTGGATAATCAGTGAACAGTTGAACGTGTAGGATGAGATTAATCTAACATATGAAGCCTATGTTTTTATTGGATGAGTTCTCTTGGACAACAGCTTGGCACATGGCATCAGCTCACATATTTATGAATGTGAAATGCTACTTACCACAATTAGGAGTATCAGAGACCTTCATCATCTCTAGACCATTGTGGTCCATCACAATTTGAGCCAGAGCATTGTAGAGACTGACATCTCTGTGGCCTTGTAGAGAGCTAATTCTACAATGCCTTAAACACCTTCCAAACACAGCACAACCCATTGAAGGTTCAACGATACAGCGAGGCACGAACAATGCTCCTGACTGTGTTACGACAAACGGTCGTGTGCGACTAGGATAATCTAACAGCGACAACCACGACAGTGGTACCGAGTGCTGAGAGTCGTCAGCCTTTACAGACAAGCAAAGGTTGCGTACTCGAACATAGCTCGTGGTGGTTAACGAGGGGTTACGCTGAGATGATAGCAGGGTTTACAGACAGTGAGAGGCATCACTGAAGGTACGAGTCGATGTCGAGCAGGTAGCTTTAGCGGGACAAGGAGTTCAAGGGTAAACCTAGTAAGATTAAAGTAAGGAACGTCTACTGTTAATCTTCGACCTTATATAAGGCTACTCTTCGTATCTAAGCTCAGCCTAAAGCTGGGTTCTAATCTGCTTATCTACATGAGTCAGAGATAGGGTCCATGAGGCGGGCTTCTATCGTAGATAGGGTCCATGCGGTACCCTTCTATCAGTACATGAGGCAGCGCGAGGCTTGCCTTCTATCTTCTATCAGTCCATGAGGCAACACGAGGCTTGCCTTCTATCTTGATAACATTAATAGGTCTTCTAGACCTATGTCGTCATGTATCGTCACGTGCGGTCCAGACTGCTTATCTAAGCCGGCAGTTGCCGCTTATCATCTATCATCATCTGTCGTCATCTGTCGTCATCTATCGTCATAGAGCCAGTGATGCTCCGGTATCGTCTATAGCCGTGCGTGTGGCAGAGGGCTGTCTGCTGGCGGGGGACTCGTGCCATGTTACTGTAACAGACTGTATCTATAAATGTTGTAAGGTCGCGCGTTGCCTAGTCTGCTATACTTGAGACGACAAGTGCATTCGACCCTAAAGGGGAAGCAAGTGCAGCAAGGATCTAGTAGTAGGCGCTGAAGGCGCTACTGGTTGGCGAATGCGAAGCGCGGGAAAGCGCAGGTGCGCGCGAGGTGCGAGAATGCGCGAAGCGCGGGAATGCGGGCGCGTGTATGCGGAAACAAGAGAGGGTATGAGCGAGTTTGCTTAAGTGATGATAAGACACTAGACAAGAGGTGAAAGATGCAAGCTGAGAGATGTTATATGCGAGGTGCCAAGTAATAGATTTCAACTATGCTCTGCTGGGTAGTAAATGGGTATTGTTGTGGTTCAGTCCTCTGTCATTCTGGTGGGAGAGTAAGTGAGTAAGTATGTACTGCTGGCGCTTAAGTATGGCGCCTAAGCGCTGTCATGCGGAGCCGAAGCGCTACCGAGTAAGGTATGTAAGGATATATGTAAGTAAGGGTCCATGATAAAAATAAAGATGGAACGATATGCAAATGTGAGAAATGGAAATATACACACTAGGGAACTTGGTGGACAGTGGATGGATGCTTCCGGATGGCTGGCGCTATAGGGCGCTCAAGCGCGGGAAAGCGCGCGCGCATATACATCGTGAAGCGCGGGAAAGGTACGCACGCGAGTTGCGCGGGAAAGCTGCGCCTCATGTAGGAATAGCTGTGGATAGCATACAGAGTGATGCTACAAGTTCATGCCATGTACTCCCTAGTGAAAACTGCAATATTGCACAATGAGAGGTGTGAGTCTCTACACCGTATCCCATTCTGCGCACTTGGTGCTTCGGTCGCGCATCGGCGCATGTATCCTCAGTTCTGTCACTCGTCCTCCGTCCATCCATTTCATGTCCGTTCGGTTTGTCGGTGTGTATTCCTATTTTATTCTCATGTATTCTGACATATCTCCGGTGCTTGCGCACATATTCCGTATGTTTCGTCATGGACCCTCATTACATATCATCATGTACTCGCTTCGCTTTCCGGCTCGCTTTAGCACTTGACAGCGCTTAACGCTACTTAGAATATATATATACCCTGCCTCTATGTAGAATGATTATCTTCTTTTTCCCGCACATCGTTGGACTCTAAGTCTAAATCTCCGTCATCTCCGCCGACCAATGCTAAGCGCCAGGACTCATACAAGCGCCAACCTGCAAATTCTTATACACGAACATTGCCTTACTCGTTCTCCGACTCACTTAAGAGTCGCTGCGCTCCACCACCCGCACGTGCGCTTCGCTCTCACTCAGCGCATGCCATCGCACTTGTTGCTCAGTAGCGCTCCATAGCGCTTTCGCTTATCGCGCTTCGCTCATCGTCGCGCACCCCACCAGGCTTATCCGACAGCCCGGTTCAGTGTTTCCCTCCACTATTATATATAGAGGAACCTTCTCAGTAGCAATCCCCTTGGGCCGACATTAGATTCGCGCACAGAGGACCATCTGAGTATATCTCATACCACCCACTTTCTAGCATTCTACATTCCTCACCTACAGCGTCCTCACACATTTTGAATTCTTGCTCACACTCCAGTGGTGGCTGGAAGGAATTAGCTCCACCATCATCAAGAGAGGTGTAAGACATTTGTTGGGTTATCGTATGATATTATGTGATGAAACTGATGCCGTATCATTCAACAATAGATAAATATTTGTGGTGATGATCTATATAGTTTTTCAAACATTGGTGCAGACCTGCAGGGATATAATACGCTGAAGGGGTGTCATGGAGATGAAAATATAACGGATGTCTGGTATTTTTTATGACAACATGCAGAAAATCAATATGCACTCATCTTTTGAGGAACCGAATAACGGGGATCCAGACAATCAGGGTACCTCTCAACACAACAGTATTTAGTTTAATGTATCTGGTCAAGCAGGTTCCAGCATTGGCAGAGATGAGCCCCTTCATCAGCGCACATCCATATGAAGCAATCCACATGGTGGCTTTAATTATGGAATCACAAAAAATACTTCTAGATCTTCAGAGGAATGGAGGGTGTATAAATTACCACTCAATTGGTAGATCTTTAATTAACATTGTGTGCCAATCTTACTTACTGCATGATTATCAGCCCCTTGTGGAGTGGATTTGTCGCTGCCTCATACCCAATGGATGTCTTGTGACCAACGGTCCGTATTTTATGAGGCACACTAATTAGTACATCACAACTGCTATGGA